AATACTTTGCTTCCCTGCACTCGATCCAGCAAATCGTCTATTCGCGGTAATGGTTCAGCATTTTTCACTGTCATATCATTTAACCTCCTATAATTTATACACATGCGAACGTCGCCGTCCTTTTTAGACACAAAGAGCACAGGCGCACCATAGGGTGAGGAGCTAGGTCTTATCCAACCATTTTTCAACAACTCATCGAGTTGGGTTCGCAGTTCATCCAATTCCTGGGGCGACATACGATAGATAGGCCCCTTCGGGGGCGCGCTCCCCTGAATGATATCAATGCGGTGGCGGATTGGTCTTTCCACCACACCGCTTGGGGCTTCAGCCACATCTGCGAACTCTTTCAGGATCCTCTCAATCTCTTGGGACCCGACTTCTTCCTTTGTTTCTCCTTCCTTTACTGGGCACACATATGCAACAAAGACTTGGTCATACAAGTTATGTTTCTTAACATGGCGAGCGAACGCTGGGGCACTCATACAACAGTGAGCTAGGATGCTTTCCTTTCCAGATTCATGATAGAGGCGGATTTTCTTCTTACCTCCTTGCGGACTTGGAAGACAACATTCATGTTCCCTTAACTTTAGATCCGCATGTGCAGCCTCACCCCAATCCATTCCTAGCAACACATCAAAGGGCAAGTTATCCTCCACCAAGAAGGTCAGAGAGTGGAGAACGMGTTCCACCTTTCCCTCTGCCTCTAGCCGAAAGTATACTTGTACTCCCTCGATGTATCGATCCATGACAGTTTCACTACTATCCGCCAACTTACTTACAATGGGCTCATCTAACTTGTTAACCTCAAGTCCAGGACGCAGTTTCTGCAAACCTCTTTTACTAATATAACTGCGTGTAGACCCGCTGTCTATCATAGCTCCTACTCTAACTCGATTTATTTCCAGATCTGCAATTATTAACTGTCCTTTCTTTTTTCGCATTTCAGTCCAGGCTTGGCGACGAGCGGCCAACTCATCACCCACTCCAGCGAGGGATCCATCTAGAGAGATGCATACGTTTGCCACCTCTGGACAGTGCACTAGATGGGGACTTCCTCCCTCTTCAGTTTCTGCCATTGGGGCCTTCGAATGGGAGGATTCTGATTTTTCAACATTCGAAGCCCCGGCAGAGGCAACTGGCACCTCTACTGGTTGTTCCCTTTTGCCCTTCTATAGTCAGGGCAATAGGGGATAATGTGGTCGGGGTCCCACATTTGAGGCATTGATCTGCCTTCTTCCTTCCGGCCCAAACTTTTTCTGTAATTCCCAACTCTTTCCAAGGCTCTCCTTCCGGTAGGCCTGGATGTGGTGGGTACGACTTATCCCACTTGTTGTACCATGAGCCTCTTCCTCTACCCCAGGTGGAGTAAGAACCACGGCCACCGTATGAGGGACCATTTCCCCTTCCTCCCACGTAGTGGCTTCCTTCACCACCACCCCTCTGGGTGCCGAATCCTCGTCCACCACGGCCGCGACCTCTTCCTCGGCCACGCCCTCTTCCTTGACGCCCTCCCCCGCGGGCTGCAACAGCCGCGTAACTCCCCTCCTGAGCTACCGGTCTGTTGGGTTCATCGAGACCATAGTCTACCTAATCCCAGGAGATGGTCTCGGCGCCTCCTTCGTTTAAGGTCAGAAGGAGACTATCTTTCCCAGGTATAGACCCTGAGATGGTGCGGTTTTGCCATCTCTTTCCCGCTTGCAGATCTTTCCAGTAATAGCAATAATTCGCTTCAGCGAGGAAGCCGGCATGATCTATGGCGATCTTGTCGAACTTCTCATATGTCATCCCCTCTTCTTTAGTGCGGGGATAAAGTTGCGTTCTCAGGGGATCCGGGAGTGCTCTTGCAAAACTGTTTAAGATTTGGGTCGGCGTCAACCCGTGATCAGGGCATTGCAATAATTCATCCATAGTGGCCTTTAGTGCAGAAGTACTCTTCCATTTCCTATCAGGAAGGCTGAGGATCAACATTTTTGTGCGTCTTGCCAGGTTCTTGTCCTCAAATCTCTCTCTTACCGCTTTAAGGAAATCCTCAATACGGGTCTGTTGCGAATATTCTACCATAGAGCTGCATCCCGCTTCCTTTTGCAGCGAGATAGCGAAGCTCATGGCGTCGCCTCCCATGCACGAAGTTGCCATCAACACCCTGTCCCAGTATGGGATACGCTGTCCGTACACATAGGTTTCAATTGTCGCCGCCCAGTGCAACACACTCTCTTCTTTCTTTCCATTATAGGTCCAGGGCAGTTTAAGCTTAATCTTGTTAGTCTGCCCAGGGTCCTGAGAAGGTTGACCCTTTGAACCCTCAATATTTTTCTTTCCTTTCTTGTCATCATCGCCGTCGCCATCTCCATCTCCTCCGTCGCCTCCAGCTCCCTTTACAATCTTTTCTACGACCTCCGGGATGAAGACTTTATTAATATGTTCGTCCAAAGCTTGGATGTAAGTTTGCACATGTTGGTCCACATCCTTTGCAGACTTTTCTACGAAGTTATTCCAGACATTCTCAAATTCAACCCGATATGTTTCTACACGTTGCAATGTCTGCCGCATTAAGTCCATGTCTTGCCTCGTGTTGAGGACGGCCTCCCTGAGGAGTGCAAGTTGTGCTTCAGTTGCAGAGGGGTTTTCCTTTTGCGCTTCTAGAGCTTTTTGCAATTTATCCCCTTCTGCCTGCAATCTTTTCTTTTCTTCCACCTCTTGTCGTCTAGCGGCCAACAGCCTGCGATTTAGCTCAGCCCGTTTCTCCTCCGCCTGCTGTGTAATGCAGGTTGCCAGGAGATCCGTGAGATGCGAGAGGAGGAGCGCTATCTTGTTTGCGCTATCCTCCAACTGGCTATTCTCGGCCTWGCTTCGCCATTCTGCTGCCATGGTAAGTAATGCCCGCTCTCCGGTGAATATTTTCTCACGACGCTGTGTTCTTTCTTCATCGGCAGCCCTTGCTGCTGCCTCGTCGTGCTGGCGCTGTTGTTCAAGTACCAGCAGACGTGCCTGCTCGACATCCTTGGCCTTCTTCTTCGCTGCTGCTGCAGCGTCATCTGCCCGTTTCTTTGTCTCGGTACTCCAGGCCAGCATGCGGGCCTGATAGGCCTCGTCTGCTTCCCCGGGCCTTTGGTCCATGACTGCTGTTTGAGATCGCAACAGCATAGACCGGGCGGGGGCCTGTTGATGTGGTATCCCTTGCTGCTGACGTGGCACTGCTGACGTGTCCTGCTGGCGTGGTCTGCTGACGTGGTCTGCTGACGTGGTCTGCTGACGTGGCAACTCACCAATGCCGCCGCGGGGGGTACCCGGATACCAACAGAAACGGAAAGGCGAGAGATGGCAACAACATAGGTGGGGAGGGGTGGGTGGGATAATCGCCCGACCAATCACTTAGATAAGGAGCCACTAATCAAACAAGAAAAGTTCAAACTTCGCAAAAAAATTCGAGAAAAATAATTTAAAAATCCCGATTTTTGCAAGTTCGGTAGGTCTCCCAACCTCCCTTGAAGTGCGAAATGATCACTGAAAAAAAAATCGACTTTAGACTGCCAATGCTTTATAGAACTGAACGACAGAATCCCTGAACTGCAAAAAAAATTCCGAACCGAAATGACAAATATTCCGATGAGAATATTCGCAGTTTGGAAAATAATACTGCAGGAGGTATTTCCCCTACCATTTTCAGAAAACAAATTTCAGAAAAGAAAATATTCCGAATTTCTAAGTAATGGGAAATGCAACAGGAAATCGAAATTTTTGAAAAGAAAAATATTCTGGATTTTCAACAGTGAAATTTCGAATTTTCAGAAGAAAAACGAAAATGGGAACTTCAGATGTTGCGATTTTGCGATTTTCCACAACAGAATAGCGAGAAAATAAAATCCAAGAAAAGAAAAAAAAATTGATTTTCAGTAGTGAGGTCAAGATCGTGATTTTGGGGTCTAACTAGTATGTCCTAATCAACCAATAAAGACTAACTAGCTTTTTTGGTCCCCGCACACGTGTCAGATCAGGGTGTCCTGATTCACGTGCAGAAGCTCAGATACCAACTGTTACATGCACAGATATGCAATGTACGTAATAACCGAGGAACTGCAGTGTGATGAAAAGGACTAACTGGACAATACAGTGCGAGTAGAATCTACAATGTACATTCTCATACATACAAAAGGTGTTGAATAGCGCAGGGAAGACTTTGATACAAAGACTGACCTGACAGGACTGACCTCATTCACGTAGTTCAGRSTAGMGAAACAGMATGCTAGAGTAGTACTAACTAGCCCAATCAATGTTTGAACTCAGACTAAACATGCATGATATCCATCACCAAGTGTGAAGGAGCCTGGCGCTGTACACAGGAAGAAAGCGCCAGGTCCAGACATACACAGACGAAGAGATAAGGATCAGACGAAAGGAGGGAGAAGGATGGGAATGTCGTTAACACCAAGTCTTGGTCACCAATCCCAAATAGTCCCTCGTTGCCATG